TTAGCATTAGCATGTAGCCGCGGGCCTCATCAATGGGCTTTATTTATATACTCTCAAGCTCATTCAAACCTATAGAGCGGCTTTCGTTACAGTTTTGCGTTATTAAAGTTTGTCAGACTGGGATTTCACAGTCAACGTGTTGTATTAGTGAGTGTGTGTGTGGTTATATAGTGTAAACACTGACTGATCCGTTCATACGAGTCTCATGACCACAGATTTTCACTCACAATCTGCTGTGAAGACCATCATATTCTATTTATGCACTTTTTAGTTATTGTATTTCAGATACACATTTTAAAACCTTTCCATCCCAAGTATAAACGTTTTAAACTCTAGTTCTGCTACTTATAATGTATAATATTTTCATTAAAACGATTTATGTGCAGGCATGATGTAAAATTAGTCTTGCTGCGTTTCATAAAACGTAATCAAAGTCATTGTTATTTAGAGAAAACTCTGCTTTTCTCCTATAAGACTATTTGTTTCTATTATTATAACAGTAAGATATTCCCGTGTCAGCACACGCATTGACTCTGTAAAGTGTTTTTGCTCTTAATTCGCATTAATTTCCATTTACTGGAAGCCATCAGCATCATCTCTAGGGTCGTTGTGGTGAAAACAGTCATTAGCAGATCAGATGATCATCACATGCGATGGACCATTAGCCAGAAAACCAACACAGCATGTCTGTATGTAATCTGTATGTTGTGTGCTGTAATGATGTATACTGTCCTGTATGCACTCAGCTGATCATGTGCCACATTCAGACGGGAATTCGATTATGACTGTAGCCTGAAGTAATGTGCGCTGCTGCTGATGTTTTCAAGAAAGCAATTTACTGCACGGGAAGTTTGAGTTTGATTTGATTTAGTAAGTCATTAAGCAGCCGTTGAATGATATCTCTTAATGGGACGCTCTTAAGATCTAAAGCTCACGTTTTATTTACTCACTAAATGGCTAAACAGGCTGATTTCTTTCGACGTGCTTTCAGCTTTGCATCAGGTTGATGTTTTAGTCTGATTATAAATCAGAACGTTATGTGCGTATATCGCTGATCTGTTTGTGTGGGTCTTAAAAGTCTTAAATTCATTAAGTCATGGCATTAAAGGGGCCATATGATGCTTTTTTAAAGATCATTATTTTGTGTATTTGGTGTAACTGCATAAAAATTTAATGATTTTGTTTTTGAAATACAAATACCTAAACATTCTTAAATCAAGATGCATTTTTTTTTTAGATGTAAGTGAAAATGAAGTCTTAAAAAACTGAGCAAAATTAAGTGTGTTGATGTTTAGAACAAGAACAGATTTGTCAATTGGGTATAAAAACATGTTTTTCTTTTGAATTTAGATAATTTAAAACAGCCCTGCAGCAGATTTGTTCATGTTTTAATCATAAACTCACGTCATTTTGATCAATCTGCTGTGTATTTCACAAAGAAGACCATCTTATTCTGTTTCTAAACAAGTAAACTGACTTTTTGTTTACTGTATTTCAGATTTTAAATTTTTCCGCCTAAGAATAAATGTTTAAACACTAGCCCTGTTACTTAGAATCTATTATTTCTTCATGTAAACTCGTTATTTCAGATTTATTTAATTTGTCTTGCTGCATTTCATAAAACTGTTGCTAAATAATCTGAATCATGCATTTTTACATGTTATTTGGAGAAAACTAATTATACATTTTTCATAACACAAGACTTCTTATCTTCTGTTATTGTGCGTCTCCAGTAGTGTGTCTTGATTTTAAATCTTTACACATTTGTATCGGGAAAACAAGACAGAAATACTAAGAAAAACATCACTTTTTTTGCAGTGCGATCAGAAGATATGGTGAACGTTGTTTTTATAATCTGGTGGTTTGGAGCAAAGCTATTCAAGCCTTAAGCTATTGTTTATTTGGAAAATGGATTGAAAAGTTGTTAGTGGCTATTGAAAGTTGTATTTTCAAGCTTTGACGTGTTGCTAATACAAGACATTTACATTATGAGACCATATTGACGTGTTGTGTTCCCCTGAATTTATTACATTTTCCTTCTTAGTTGGTCTTAACAAGGTTTTAGAAAGTCTTCATCAGATCTGTGCTGGTTGTTTCCCGTGTAATATTGATAAGCGTAGCGCTGTTGTGAGAGGGATTTGTGTCCGTGAACAGGACTAACCTGTGTCCAGTGTCGTCCCCAGTGAATATTTAATGGCTCAAAGTCTGTGTTATGAATGTTTAATGAAGGATGTGCTCTGACGCTTCCTGTACGCTGTGCGAGCGTGAGATTTTTATGTTTTCAGATTGAGCTTTGGACCGTCCAGCATTTGCTCTGAATCTCTATGAAGCTGTTGAAATCCACATCAGACACCTGATTGTAGATGGTAATGTGTGGAAGAATCTTGTTTACAGCATGTGTTGCTGCTTCAAGCTCACTGGCGGATTTTATACGTTTTCCACCGCTTTTAACTTCAGCAACATGTTTAATGGTTACAGTGTATGTTGGTTTATCTTAGATGGATATCCATGAGCATGTTTCTTATCAAACACATGCGTCATTGTCTGGTCATGTTTCATTACCATTTGTAAGTTACTTTGGTTTAAAAGCACCTTCTTGGTAAATAGTGTAAGTGTTTGATTTCGCATCCAGAAATAGCCAATGTTGTGTGATTTTATAATTAATGATTATTGTTTAATGACAATCAATTTTAATAATATTAAAATGTATTTTTACTTAGTTTTATTAAGAATGTTTTTAAATAATAAATCTCTCCAT